TGTTGTACTATTTCTTTAATTCATCGTTTTTTCTTCTTTCCTAGGTATTCGTTTCTTGATTGAAACGTGGTCCATAGATGTTCTTCTGTTACTTTTCTCTCAAATATCATTAATTCCGTTTCATCACCTTTTGTTAAGAACCATGGCTCGCAAGCATATGTTATAATTTTTGGGCGCAATATAGAGAAGAATTTTTGATGTCCATGAAATTAATTTTGATTGTGAGTGATACAGAACTAGCGTTTTAACATTCAAAATTCAAATATCGAATTCATTAACGACTTTAACAATTTTGGTTTTGTGTTGAGAAATAAACTGTTCAAAATATAAATATTTAAATCGAATACAATTTGACATACTTGTACAATCCGGAATGTACTTATATTGCCTATACAAAACGCCCAGTAAACCAGATAAAGATAGGTTTTTTGTTTATTATTTTATTTACGGGAGTTTTTTAATGTCAATTCATTTTTTTTATTCATCTGTTATTTACATTAGTAAATTTTTTGTATAGAACCGATGGAAACAATTATATACCTATGTTATATTACTAATTGGGTAATTTTCATAATATTTATAAAAATATAAAAGTCTACTACTAATGATTTATTTTGATGAACTCTAATAAATTATAAATATAAAATATTCTACTTCCATGAATAGAACTATAACGTACACGAATATTAAGAAACACCAAAATAAAATATGTTCTATGTTTTTTTGAAACCAAGCTCGGGTAAAATCAAAAATATTATTAATTAAATAGGTAGTAAATTATTTGGTATGACGATTGACGATGAACACATCTGCGAACACATAGGTAGATGGCAATATTTGGGATTTTAAATGCTGATCTCCCGAATAGGTTAACTAGATTCACTTTCCCATAGACCAAGATATTTTCGAAGAATATTGAAGCAGTTTTACTGCCCCAAATGGTGACACAAAATAAAAAATAAATAAAAAAACCACACATCATTGTAAAATCAATACATTCATCGCTCCACTCAGAATCTAAAATTGATTATCTCCTGACAAATTTCTGTTATTAAATGCGTTTTCCGATCAAAATCCTATCGTGCAAGTGTGCAACCTTGTTTTTCTCTTTATACATTTTTATTAAGTATAAAATATAATAGCTTTAAAGCACAATATTTTTTTAACTAGTTCCTAGTGGTAATATTACATAATGAGACAATATAAAAATAGCGTTAATATAGTTTACTTTAGTTAATAAAGTGAAAAATACAAGGTGTAGATATAAAAATTCCAAATGGGATATAATTTTAAATTACCACCTGGGTTATATACATTTTAGTATGGTATACATAAACCTAAGGATTACTGACTGTGCAACTTTAAATTATTTTTAAATAATAACTATTTTGTTATAAATGCAACATGCATATTATAATACTATATCATTCCTTCTTATTGCACTATCTATAGTGTTTCTAGTTTCTACCTTAAGTATTTTTGAGGGATTAACATATTGATCCATCTAAATATATTAATGTCTTAAAATATATAATATCCATTTCAATATACAATATTTTTTTTTATATTTAAGTCATAAATAATAAATTACAAAACTGATAAATCATATCTTCGAAAATATTATTCATTATAATTTTTGTGGTAAATTGTTCTACTCTAAGATAACTCAACAATCATAAAAAAACAATTTTATGTGAATTCTTTTTATCTCTGTTGCGCAAAGGTCTTGAGGAGAATACAACAATTTCACTGAAATAGTGATATCCTATTAACTAATAAATTATGACATTATATTAATCAGAAAATTAAGTTAATTAACAAATCTAAGTAAAACCAGTAAGGTTTTTTAGTTTTTACAAAAATAAATGTTTAACTAATTACTAATTAATTCTCAATTTTTGTGATAATAATTATAATTATATCACTCTGCAACATTGTCAATTCATTTTTAAAAGATAGAATTTCGTCAACAATTATAATAATTATAATTATAATCAAATATTACAGTTTACTTAAATCCATAAGCAATTTCAAAACACACTGAACAAAATAAAAATAGTTGGAAAAATATATTGACACTTATTTAATGGATTAACATATTGTAATAATATTGTATTACTTGTAATAATTCAAAGTAGTCATTTTAAACATAAGCATTTGTATGTTATTGAACTTTATATCAAATAAATATGTAATGACACTAATGACTAGTGCAGTTATTCGTAATAATACTTATAAGTGATAAGTCCTTTTAATACTAATGAAATATATAACGTCAGCAAACAAATTACATATTTACATTTAATATAAATATGTACATTAAATTGTTACTACAAGCTGGGATTTATTAATTAATCTTAAAGGCAACGAAAAATATATTATGTACTAAAAAATATAATTATTAACAATATCTATATTTAAAACACCAAATATTTTTTCTGGCTTTTTTCAAACAGACAGCTTCAAGCATTGTTGTCATTGAACTGTACATCTGACATGAGGTAAATTTTTTCAGGCAGAGGTTTTGGTTGAGGGGACAATAGAGTTAACATTTGTTGTGAGGTGTCAACATTTGTTCTAGTGAAATAAAAAAAAAATTATTAAAAAGGTTGGGCATCAAAATATTGTTATATTATATTGAATGATACTCAACAATACTTACACACAGACAAAACCAATAACACTATTCTTAACAATGTCTTCTCCTACCGTTGTACTGAAACTCAGAGCTAACACGTGATACATCATATTTGGCCCTGTAAAAATTATCAAAATATTTAAAAAAAATAATCTCAATGAAAAAGTACTTTTATTAAATAATATCATATGCAACGCACTAAATGTTTTTTATATTTACCTGGAGTAACACGTTCAAGTTTTGTCTCAAAATCAGTTTTTTGCATATCTAATGGCATCAATACATTTGGAATGGGTGGTATAATTCTATATACTTTTATGTTGGAAAACCTTACTACGCAGGTGTGTGGATGAAGTACATTCCTAGGACTACCATAAAAGAATTCTCGAATACGTGCTGCTCTACCTTCCAATTTAAACTTATTACTCTTTTCAACTACCTAATTATAAAACAAATCAAATTTATAATAATACATCATAATTTAATTTTATTATTAAACCGTGGTTTAACACTGCATTTTATTATTTTAAGACAATTTTGCACTCTACAAGACAAATAGTATAATTAGATCTGCCCAATAAAGCTTAACGCATATGAAGACGATCTACAACTGCCAAAAAAGTGCATTTTCATCTCAAAAATATTGGGGGGCCTTACCATAAAAATAAAATTTACTGAATTTTCCAATGAGAATTGACTATTGACCACAGTATTTTATCAACGAAATAACTAAGTGAGTCAAAAATTCAAATCTTTCATAGTAAACAGATATTTTAGAAATTTAATGTAAAATATATAAAAAAAATCAAATCCTATATATTATATGTGTTGAAGGGAATTGATTTGTTGACCTAGGGTTAACACATTGAGTTTTATTAGGCAGAGCTATTTATATTATTTTTTTTTTTTTTGCAGCCTATTATAAAGGTAGCCACATTAATCGATAAGTTCCCAAAGAGAATAATAAGAATAATCATATTGGTGAAACTTACTCCTCTACTTTTTGGTAAAAGAACCACTTTGACAAATACTGGCATATCTCTCACTAGTTCATTATATAATCGTTCTTGATCAAGTACAAGAATAACATCAACTTCAAAAGTGAGTGCAATGTGAGTCAAATTCTGGTAACCTTTACCTTTTACCGGACCGCACGTATTAATTATTAATCCAGAACAGTTAACTGTAAAAATAAAATTAATACAAAATTAATCTGCTAAAAATAATTAAAACAATTAAAAAAGAATTAAAGCAATTAAATATAATATAAAAATTAGCAAATATTATAATATATTCTAACACTAATTACCATAAAAGTATACAATTTAATAAAAAATCATTTATAATTAAAAAAACATTTTTTGGACTAAAATTAGTAATTGCTATTTAATATTTCAATCTATAATAAACGAATAATTACTAATTTTTAAACTGCAAGACAACAATAATAATTAAAAATACTTTTTTGCTAACATGGAACAATATAATCAAATAATCAATTATTTAGATATGCAATATACCAAATGAGTCAGCTTTATAATTTCAGTTGTCTGTATTTATATAGTCACAGTAATGAGTTGTTAATTTTTTTTAAATAAAATATCGAACATCATTGAAATAATGAATATACATTAAACTTTACAGGAAATCAATAAATAGTAAATCAGAGTAATTGATTTTTAAAATTATAAATTGTAAAAATTGTGAATAAGTTAAACTTTATATTATGTGCTCTTCATAATACTAATTAAAAATAATTATTATTATTATCATTTTAAAACTGTAAAACAGTAAGTTTTACTTATTAATAGGGCCCGGATTTTTATGCAAAAATTATTGCTAAATATGCACTTATTTATGCACTCAAAAATTCTAAAATATGCAAAAAAAAATTTTTTATTGTGTATTAAAAACAAAAATGAACATCTTAAAACAATTACAAAATATATTAGATATGAGAAAAAAATACAATTTTAATATCAATATAATTCTGCTCACAAATGTGTACAAACTATACATTTATATCTATTGCTTAACTAAATAAATGCAAAATTAATAAAATAATAATAAAAAGGCAGGTAAGTGGATGTCGCTCAGCTGTACAGTAGGTTACAAGTTGGTCATTGTTTAATGGATTGTATTAAACTTGAATTCAATGATATAATATCATTGTATAAGAAAAACGATTCTGAACGGAGACGGTTTGTCAGTCTGTATATTTCATATTGTCATTAATTATTATAACATGTAAGTTGTTTTAATACTATAAACATGATATTTATATAGATAATACCTACCTATTTTTTTTTTATTCGTTGCTACGGTGATAAACAAATTGTTAGAAATTAAAATCCCATTTTAAGCGGTTTTTCGTAATTTTTCAGTACTTTTTCCCGTGGCATTAAATAACTATTGAGAAAATCGAAAAATGACCTCTCTAAAGTACCATCTTGGTCCAATTTGCTAAAAGATAAGGTACTATATGTTGAAATCAAAGCACTCCTTCTGGTAGAAATTTTGTATACAGGATATAAAAAAAAAATAATAAACACCATTGTAAAACCACTAGCTTCCTTGCTCCGCTCAGAATCTAAAATGTAATATTAATTTTGGAACGAGTACCAACATGAAGTTACGAAATGTGATTTTATATTTTCAAATTCGAAATTTCTACGATTGTCACGTAGCATAGATTTGTATTTTGAAAAACTTCTTTCTACGTCGCAAGACACGATAGGTGCATACTTAAAACAAGAAATGTCTTCAGGTGTCAACTCTTCAATGCCTTCATTGTCATTGCTTATTTCTCCGCTTAATATTCCACAAATTTTTATAATTTGAGAATACCCTGGATTCTTCGATAATACTTGCATTAGTTTAAGTTTAGCAAATTCTATGCCTATTCATCCTTCACTTAACCTAATTTCAACATTTTTAACCAACGAGATGGTTTCTCGTAGGTTGGGGCCAGATTTTTCTATTTGTAAGATGGTTTCTGTGATGCATTGAAAATTGGCTAATATTACTACAAGTTCATTTTTTATTGAATTGTCTTTAAATAAATCTTGAACTTTTTGAAGAGATATTGCATAGTTTTCGTTAAATTTATTGATAACTTCTTTGACCTTATCAAAGTTATTACCATAGTATAAAAAGCTGCATTAAGCCACGTACCCCAACGAGTAATGTAGCTGTGGTGGTAAACTTAAATTTGGGCACATTTCTTTAAAAGTATTAACACGAGAAGGTGCTTTTAAAAATATTTTTTTTGTGTTAGAAATTAACATGTCAACTTTTGGGTACTTATCCCTTATAGCTTCCGATACCCTATGAAGGCCATGGGCCATACATGTAATGTGAGTTAGTTTAGGATAAAACTCTTTTAACGCTTTTCCAGATTTCATCATGTATGGTGCAGCGTCTGTGACATAAAGTAATACTTTATTATGTAATACTTTTTCAGGTCACAATAAACTCATTGAGTCATTGAACAATTTTGAAATCGTTTGAAAGTTAGCCTTTTCTAAGTTTTCAATTGTTAAAACTATTGGTTTTGTAGAATTTTCTGACGATAGGGAACCAATCGTTACACATGCAACGTAACGCCCTTCGACATCGGTAGTTTCGTCAATTGATACCCAGAATCCAGATGGAACTATCCCCTATTTCTTTTCGGATTTTACGTAATACGTCTTCATAACACAACGGAGCATAGTTTTTTCGTAGTGTCGATTCGTTAGGTAATTTTAATTTAATATATTTTTCGAAAAAACATTTGAATTCTGGGTTTTGTAGTTTCCAAAGTGGAATATCATTTGCCACCATTAAGGTACAAATATCTTTACTAAACTCATTCAGATTTTGATTATTTGTTCTAGTTTGATCAAGTGATTTTTTATAAACTGTTGACTAACCTGGTCTTTGTTTGATTTCAACTTACTATTTTCAATGTGTTTAGAAGTTCCTAAATGTTGATTAATCTGTGATTTTCTATCACACGATACGTTGGTTTCACAAAAAGTACAAAATAATATAGCTCCATCTGTACGAAAGACACCTGGGTAATCTCTCACGTAACAATGAGCTTTCTTTACTTTTGGCATTTTCTTAGAGAAAAATAAAAATTTGACACTAAAGTAGACAAAATATTATTTTATACGAACACAAAAACTGCGGTGGACAAACTACACCAACAAATTACCTTCACTAACTAATTGAAATACACAAGCCGTGTGCGTACCTATGCCGTATACCTAAAGTGCAGATAAGTTATCTGAGACAAATACGCAGACTGTCGATAAAAATCAGCGACTGCAATTTCCCAATCAATGCTTAAAATAATTTTTATGCACACTCGCCTTGCTTTTCAAAAAAAAAAATTCATCAACTATTAAAAAATGCAACTTTTATGCAATTATATAGAAATATGCAATTAATATGCATTTTCATTCAAATATGCAAAAATATGCAAAAACAAAAATTTGATAGCTTAATCTACGTATTACGAAACGTCAAGATATTTAATCAGAATTATTATAAGTTAAACGTAGAAGAATACCTATGCATTTGCATAAAAATCCGGGCCCTACTTATTAAATATTTACAAAATATCGGAAGTAGGTAATACTGAACAAATTATTATAATTAAACTAAAACTCAATTAATTCCATACTGACCTAATGTTTTTTAAATATTTTTCTAATATATATCGATGGATACACGACAAATGGGACAATTGAAGGCATTCAAGAAGAGTTAACTCATTTCTTTTTACAAAGGAGTCTCACATCAATCCTAAACTATGAAATTCAATATCACTTTAAATTATTATCAGAAAATAGTAAAATGTTCACCAATAGATAGAAATCATCTCCTACTACCCAGTAGTATATGCTATGTCACTTAGCCTCTTTTGTCGTGTAGCCATCTGTATAATAGATGTAATGATATAAATTAAGTTCAAATAATATATAATAGATAGAAATTACTTCTAGGATTTCCATCCATCCGTTGGTGAATAACTTCGGCCATACGAGATATTAAAGTGTTGTACAAAGTTGAATTAATACCCATTTTTGTATGTCCATAATGATAGACTAGTGGAGCTGCTTGGGAGAAATTTCCATTTACTTCAGCTGGCCTTTCTACCATGACTGCTCCTACAAATTATTGTTCTCATTAGGACTATTGTCTTATGATTAATTTAAAATCCATACAAACCAATTGTTCCTGGAACTGATATTTGTCCCTGACACGGGTCCAGGTCGACATAGATGGGTCTACGACCAAGAGCATTCATTCGTGTACTATAGTTAAGTAGTATTCTAGAGTAGATTTACCCACATCAGTCGGTCCGACCACCATTGTAACAGGACCTCTTATCTTTTCTTTTTCTGCTTTTACTCGTAGTTGTTGTAATGTCGCATGGCAATTTAAATAAGACAACTAAGAGATTAAACACGGTTAAAATATGTACACATTGAAAAACAGATAATAATTCAGACATTCATAACTATAAAAATAATTAGTTATTAAGAATTGTATTGAACTCCACTAAATTTTTTTTTTTCAGTTAATTTGTGTTCCGCCAGCTGATTAGTATTAAAATATATGAATTATTTTTTATTCTCAATAGATATTAAGGAACAAATGAAGCTAAAACTATATAGCTAAAATAAATTGATTTATCAGGTGTTACATTACATACAAGTTTATAAATATTTTGCATTATTTTAGATGTTTAGTTAAGCATTTTAAAATACAAGAATTAATTCAAAAATTCTTTTTTTGTTTAACTTTACAATTATGTTTTTATATTGTCTAATCTGTGAACACTAAAAAACTTGAATGAGATTTTTTAATATCGAAGAATTAAAAATTAAAAATACATCTTTAAAAGATACATTGTATTTGTTTATTCTGTCCGATATAGATGCAATATAGAAATGTATGTTCAGTACAACAAATCCTGTGTTGTTAGCTTTAATATTAGAGTTAATTTAAGTTTAAAAAAATAATTTCTTTTAGGCATTGGCTTTTTAAATATTTTAACTTTTCTGTAGTATATTCAAGTCATAAAATTTATCAAAATTTAAATACCTTACAAAAATCAAACAAACAACCACAGATAATGTTCTAAACGTTATGTTTTAAAATAATGTTAATTTACTTTAATATTTAAGCTAACTTAACTAACTTTATCCATTTTGACAAAAAGATGTACCAATAGATAAATTAAATTAATTGCAATTAAACTATTAAGTAAATTTGAAGAGAAATATACAGTAATGAACGTGATTTTAATTTTTTAAAAACAATTGATACATTATTATGCATAAACATAGTTAAAATTAGTAATAAATAGTAGAAATAAGTAATCTCCATTAAGTAAATTAATTTTAAAATATTATTATTCTTACCATTGGGGTCTCTTTGGATATATAACTAATTCCTTTTTTTCCTCGTAATTTTAATGAACACCCTTGCCATGTAAACACCCCAATTTTTGCTCCAAAATAAAATGTATACAATTTACTTTTTACTAATTCTGCACCAAAAATTTCTGCAAACCCAGTTTTCAACTATAAAAATAAAAAAAACACCATACATATATTGCATAATATTATTTTATAATATAAATTATATTTATAGGTTATTAGTCTATTACTGGTAACAGAATATATCTAAGTGACCTTACATATTTTATTACATAAGTAGGTATGTTTATGTTTACATAAGTGATTCAGGATTCTCACTCTTCGTTTAAAAGTAAAAATCACTTGATTCTAAACAGTAATTATTTTTTTTTTTTCATGAAATAAATACAACTGTTCATACATTTTAAACAATTATAATTATTGCATAAGTTCATATTTATTCTTTTCAAATGTATAAGTGTATTTATTAATTATTCTTAATTAACAATACCGAGATTATTTGAAAACTATTTCAATTATTATTAATCCTTTAATTCTATTATTATTAAATAATATAGGTACCATAATATTATACTAACATAATAATATAGTAGATATCATAATTTTAAATTAATAATATATAGAGTTGTGAACTTGTTGTCCTCCAATTCTATTTACATTACTTACTACCTACCTCCACATGAAAATGTTGTATCAGATGTAACTGACATTGATGTACCAATTTAATGAGTACCTAATATAACATATTTTATATGCAGGACTATTGGAGGTACTTACTTCTAATACAACTGTTTCATTTTTCTTTTCAACTTCAAACCTAAGTTCATTTTCAGGTTTCAATTGGAATTCCTGATATTCAATTTGAAATTGTATGCTCTCTGACATGATTAATATTATGTATGTTTATTCAATATTTCAAAACACTGAAAACAAGCAAGAAAAACAATTAAAACCTAAGCACAGCTGATCATAAAAAAAAATTAATTAAGTTGGGTTTTTAACAAGCGTCTGCACACCACAGGTTAAAACAAACAAAACAAAACATTTTATTTATATATTTTTATTACAATTTTAAGTTTACACAGAAGTTAGGACTATGGAGGCAGCGTTACCGATGATTCGGACTTCAGTAAAATTTAATGCCCGCCACATCGGCCAGAAGTACCTCCAATAGATAAACATTCTGACTTATCACAATGTACGACGAACTAAGATAGTAATCATTTTTTTGTTATCAGTTAATAAATAAAAACATAATATTAATTAATTGTTCGCCAACTTTTGAATCATTCGGTTATTTGAATTTCAGACTACATCCCTACAGAGTTCTGTTCATACATTTTAGTAAAACATTACCATGCAAAAGTGTATTCTTTTTAGTGAAACATCCGAAGTATCGCATCGCCACAGTATCTTTATTTTCATTTGTAAGTGTTATTTTTGAGTTGTAGGTACTTATTTCTTAATAATATGTGGTCAGTCTAATTTGCTAATTTGTTCACAAATATAGATTTTCAAAAAATGAAATAGAAGGAAATAATAGCTAAACATCTTCAAATTAAATGATTACCCAATTTCTGTCTGGTATAAAATCTGCGGTAAGCATTTCACAATCAGTGAATAGTGATTATCAACAAGGTTCAGTAAATTAGTAGACATGTCCAGTGGCTGTCTCAAACATAATCCAAACCACTTGTCCGGAATAGAGAAGTAAAATAAACAATATAAAATAAATTTTAATGCGTGGACTTATATTTGTATTGAAAGGGCTTAGCCCTTTTCATCTAAATAAATGAATAAATAAATAATTATATTTTGAAATCTTAAGATATCCATAGCTTGCTTTAAAAGTTAAATATAAATAAATGTTTAGTGCTTCTCAATAAGGTTCCTTATTACAATATTATGTCATATCACTCTAATATTAAAGCTAATAGTAAAAAATTGGATCTACTGTACTCACATTTGCATGTTGCTCATAGTTTAAGGAGAGAAAACAAATGTTGCACTGACAT